CACCGGACAGTACTGAAGCAAGGACAGAAGGACCACCGACTTGGTAAGAGTAAGACCTACATCATGCCGATCACGGAAAAGAAGAAGTGAGTGTAGGCAAGGTTTCACCCAGCAAACGCTATGCGCTCTAGCGCAAAAGAAGGACCCCTGCAGCAGCCTAACGAAATGTGGTTGCTTGAATTTGAAATGGATGTGCGAGGTATTCGTTACTGTACGTGATGTGTGAAGGAAGGTCTTTTGGACAAATCCCTTAGTTGGGGGACTGGAAAAAGGCGAGTATTGCATCAATTGTTTAATCCGTCTGCAATGGCAAAGCCTGCAACGGATGGGAGGTGCCCGCAAAGGCCTAAGTGCTTTTGGAAGTACAGCACAAATACCTCGAGGCAGGGTGTTAAGATTTATAGATAGGAACCTGTATAGCTTTGTATAGTATCCCACACCTTTGTTGGAGCCCATGAAACGCATGGCTACGACGCAGCGCCTTTTGTGGTTCGAGAGAAAAGCGTGACCGCTTAGAGTTGTACTGTTTAACTCAAGTGCTTCAAGAAGATCTATGGCCAGCACAACCCCGCGACCGAGCAAGACTTGGAGCTCATTTACGCGGACTTGGCTCAACGGGGTCTTCGAGAACAAGGAGTCCGGCATCCTTATGGCCCTCGAAGAACGTGAAGAAGGCGCTTGAGGACCGGATGGCAAAAGGACTAGACGCCGGAGCCGTCAGCGTATCAAGCTGGCAGCGAAGTGGCCCGATCAGCTGTGCGAGGCTGTACTTCATGGTGTCAGAGCTCAACTGCGCCATGACCTTCAGGAGGCCGGAGAGGAACTAGGCACCCTGGATGCCTGAGGACGAGAACTTTGCACCTCTACCTCCTCCACTACAACCTCAAGAGCTTCAACGAGAGGAAGTATTGGAAGAGGCAGCCGAGCCGGAACAGCCTGACGCGGAGAAGGAGCGCAAGTGGCGTTGGCTTAGGCTCGAGAGAAACCAACGTCTCGCCATCCGCCGACTACATCACATGACAGGGCATGCTTCAAGCGAGTCCATGATGCGGATGCTCAGGGCTGCAGGGTCCTCACCTACGGTTGTCTCAGCGTGCCGCTTCTTTCGTTGCGAGGTCTGCCTTGACAAGAAGCATCCGCCTCAGGCGAGAAGGAAAGGATTGTCGAAGCCAGCTTAGTCTGGAACGACTTTCACTAACTTCGAAGGCGGGGTGTTAAACACTCCACCAGTATAGGAACACACAGTTTGCACTACGTGTACACGACTTGAGCGTGCTTTCGCACTCAGGCTCAAGGACCCCAGGCACACCAGTGCGGTGCAGGTAACAGTGCGCCGCTAGGAACCTTTAGTGGTCCCCGTCTTTAACAATTATTCTACGTGACAATATTTGGTATACTTTGGATCGCTGCCTTCACTGTGCCGATCACTCTCCACGCTGTACTTTGCTGTACCGTGGTCTACGACAACACTTTTGGCACCACGAAGCACCAGCCTTGCACAACGAACCACGCAGCTTTTCTATAGTTTCTTCAAGGCAACTTTTGGATGTTGTAGATAGGAGGCATCGTTGCGAAGTTTTGGCAATGGCAGCAAACGCCACTTTCTTCGAAACTCCTGAAACCAACTTTGTCGTGAGCTTCTACTTTCTCCTACGTGTTATATACTTTTGTGTGAGGTTAAATGACAGCACTTTATCTCAAGGAGGCATGTGGAAATAACACGTTATCTCCATCCCCCGACTTTGCCACTTAGACCACATAATGCAGTTTGTGCATCCCCTGGAAAGAGGCGCTCCGTGACTTTCAGAGCTACTTTGATCTGAAGCTGGGTGAGCAGTGCACGCACTATTTTAGAGTATTGTTAGTGTGCTATCTGAATACGTTGTACTTTCGCAGCGTCCGTGCGTCCGTGTGTCCGTGTGTGCGTGCGGGGGGGCGTGCGCTGGCTTGTGTCTTTGGTTATTGTGTGTGTTTTTCTATGTGTTGGTGCGTGCCTCTGTGTGTGTGTGTGTCAAAAACTTCATGTCTTTGTCTGTTTATGTATGAATTTTGTAACTTTCTGACCTTTACGGTGCGTACATTTTCAACGATAAGCATATTTATAGACAATTTATGAAAATTGATAGACAACTTATACAACTTATAAGTTAAGTTATACATTGCTTAAACAAAGTCAAGATAAGTTCAAGCTACGTATGCTATAAGCTCGACTAGTCAGTTATAAGTAGAATACGTTCGCGGGGCCCGGTGGCAGCGGCGGCGTCAGCGCAGGCGGAGGAGATCCGCAAGAAGGAGAAGCACGAGGACGACCTTCAACAGGAGGACCCGGTGACAGCTCAGCACAGCTCAACGGCTCCGCGTGAAGAAGCAAAGTCCCAGACAGTGTCTGCTTGTGCGTGTGCTCAAAACCTTGGGATTTGGGAGGACTACGAGGAGAAATGGTCCGAGCGCTACCTGCAGCAGGCCGCCTCCATGCAGAAGGCCCAACAAGGGGAACGAACACCGGGGGGGGGGGGGGGGGGGGGGGAAAAGGGACTGTCCGCGGTGCTTGCCTGTCTCTCCAGGACGAGGCCGACGGGACCGGGGAGGCCAAGGAAGGCCTGGCTGTGTCAGCTTGTGCTGTGGCTGTGCGGAGCGGCCGCCGCAGCGCGGTGCGCCCAGGGGATGGAGCCATGTCCATGAATCCCATGATGGCAATGATGGGTATGATGAACCCCATGCCACGGCCTTGGAGCGGAAGGGAAACTGGGGAGGCGGATACGATGCTCGTTTCTGCTTCAGGATGATGGGCATGATGAACCCGATGATGATGCGACCGCCCATGTCAGCTTCTAAAGAGCATTCGATAGACCGTTGCTGCTCTCTCCTGTCTGAATCATCTCTCAGGATGATGGGCTGCGGTTGCCCAGGTGCCGGCCATGAGGGGGTGTGAGAGAGCGAGAGAAGTCCACTACTGAAGCGGAGGCATGATGGGTTGTGGCCTGAACCTCAGTCAAAGTGGCTCAGGGCGCGTTGCAGCGTCGTCTCGCATGTCTGATGTCAGGTATGCCTGGCGCAGGCGCCGGCATGCCGGGCTCCGCCGGAGCGGCGGGAGCCACGAGCGAGGCGGCCGAAGTCGAAGCGGAGCGCGGCTGGAGCGCAGAGACGAGAGAGCGGGGCCTGCTGCTTCGAATCGCGACGAGGCCACCAGCGGAGCGCCTGCAGAGGACTCGATCCCGATGCGAGCGTGAGCGCTCCAATTGAGAGTGAGAGAGTCGAGGCGTCCTGGCTTGCGATTGCTGTGGTAGACGGTATCCATGCAGGAGAGCGACACTGCCGCAGCCGCCCCCGTTGGCCCCGGGGGAGCGGCGGGAGCAGCGGGAGCAGCGGGTGCACCTGCAGGCCCTGCGGGCTGCCCTGGCCCGGCGGGCTGTGGCGGCTGCCCCATGGCAGGCCAGGCCGTTGCGCAGCGTTGCCCTGGCTCTGCCTCTGCTTTTTTTTTTTCAGGCATGGGCTGCCCGATGATGGGCGCCTCGGATCTTACCGTCTTCACGTCGGTTTTCTCTCCGTGTCTTCACCCAAGGCATGCCATGCATGGGGGGGTGCCCGATGATGGGCCAGAACCTCAAAGTTGAGCCCACCGAGCCACGGAAAGCGATGAGTCCGGGATGAGGCATGGGCGCAATGCCGATGGGCTGCATGCCAGGACCTGGCCGGAGAAAGCGACGGACAGCGGCGAGGGATTGTTGTGGTGGCAGGATGCATGCCCGCGGGGGCAATGCCTTGTTGCGGAGCCGGGGGCGCCTCCAGCCTTGCGGCCTCCGGGGCCCCTGGGGCCCCTGCAGACGCAGGGCCGATGAAAGAGGGAGCTCCCTCGGAGCGATCTGCGCCTTACTGAGGCGCCTAACGTGCGCTCTGCTCTCAGCTTTGCTCTCTCACCCGGCGTAGCGGCGTAGCGCGCAGCCTGAATAAGGCTTCCGCGCGACCCACAGCTTTAGTGTATATATAGGCAACATTGCCCGCAATGCGTCTCCATTCGCTCGCAGCTAGCGCTTTCTGAAAAGTTGTCGATGTCATCCTTCCTTGAGTCCCATGAGTTCTTGCGCCCCGAGTTCTTCGCCCACCACGGAAGGGTTCAAGCTTGTTGCCTATAAGGGGATAATTCGACCGTTGCGCTCCCCCTCCGTGCCAGCGGGGACCGCGGCTTCGCAGAGAGACAGGACCGCATTTGTGCCTTTTGGCAGATCTGAGGCATCAGATGGCGAGCTTCGGTGCTGGGAATCCTTATGGGGATCCGAACTGGTACAACGCGGTGCGCATGGAACGGAGAGCCTGGGAGCCTCAAAGACTGAGCCTCTATTCCATGGGGCAGGCCTACCACAGCCCCTACTACAAGGAGACGCACAAGGCCCAAAACGTCGCAGGCGAAGTCTTTTCTTCCTCGCCCTGGCCTGCCCCCGTTGCGAGGCGTGGCGCGCCAGGCGGCCGACGTTTGCAGTGCGACGTTGCAGTGCGATTTGCGAGAGCTGCTTCAAGGGCATGGCCAGAAGATGCCAGAAGCACTGAGAAGCGAGACGTGCACGGAGAGCGGCCGTATTGGGCAGGTGTCGGAGCTTTGTGGAAGAGCACATCATGCCCTTCGTGAGCGAGTGGGAGGCTGCCAGCGGGCAGAGAGGGCCGACAGCTACCAGAGGGGTGAACTCTCTCTGAGCTCCACAGGTCAACAAGGCAGTGCCTCGGGAGACGTACGTGAAGTGTGCCGAGGTCGTCGAAGAACTCTACTAGTTTGTGTTGCTTGGGTGTTTCGGAGGCTGGTCTGCTGCCGGTGGTGGTAGGTGCCCATTCTGGTGCCTTCGACCTTGTTCCCAAGGAGGCTCCACAGGAGAGACGCGAGACATCGAGACATCGTGAAGAACGCTGTGAAGAACATTGCGAGAGACACTGCGAAGTCTGCGAGTCTCGCGCCAGGACTTGGACTACTTCCATGAGCTCATCTTCGTGGACGAGCTTGCCAGGCCGCCCGTGTTGTGCCGCGTCCTGTGCCGGGGGAAGGGCCCGGCTCAGGTGCGGCAGCGGAGGCGTCTTGTGGGGCCTCATCGAGGTTCGCGCCGTAGGGCCGTAGGGTTAGTGGGTTAGTTCCGGGACCGCCGGGACCGGAGCCCGGTGCCCTGCAGGGGCTCCAGATCGGTTTGCCGCCCGTGCTGAACTTCGGCACGGAGGAGATGAAGAAGCGCGTGGCAGACGCCTCGGATCTTTGTGACGCGCCCCGCTCCTTCTGTGTGGTGCATACCTTCTCAGGCGCCGGACTGCCTCATGGGGTCGCGTCGACCTGTGGATTGACCTGCCTCTTCGCGAGCGTCGCGAGCCTCGGCCTCACCCCCCCGAACGCTCGTTGGGTGACAGGCGGAAGATCATCTCTCTGAACATCACAGAGCCATCCGCTGGCAGCGACGTCGCAGCCATCAAGTGCGCCCAACCGCTTTTCGGCCGACCTGAGCTCTGAAACGCGCAGGACCACGGCCATCCGAGAGGGGGATTTCTACATCGTTAACGGCAACAAGAAGTGGATCACCAATGGGGTCCCAACCCTGTTTTGACAATTTGAGCATGTGACTGCAGAGCCACGGCGGTCGACGCTCAAGGGGAACCCTTCGTGGGCTCTTTTCCTTGACCTGAGACACTCTCGTAAGACATGTGTTTCGCTTGCCATTTGGCGAAGTCAACTCAACGGAAATGTGGCCCGTGTCCACTGCGATTTTTGCCTCTGCACGGGGCCCACATTGGAGGAGTCGCTACTCGAGGGAGAGAGCAGGGCCGAGCAGGGTTTGTGGTGTCGCTGTTCCGCAGATCTTCTCCGACTACTTTACTTGCGCCGTGCGGACGGGTGGACAGGTGCCGACCCACGGCATGAAGTCACGGGGCCACGGTCACGGAAGTCACGGCGCCACTTTCGTGCAGCCAGGGCATGCGAGGGGTGTCCATGCTGCTGCTCGAGAAGGATTCCATGCCAGGGACCGGCCTCTGCGCACCAGAAGTGTGTACAAGTCGGGGTGTTTTGCAAGTGCGGACACGGAGCTTGCGCGGCTTCTCGCAGGATCACGACGAAGAGGATGGACTGCCAGGGCGCCGGGAGCTCAGGAGACTTCGCTCCCCTTCCCCTCTCTGCTCTCAGCCGCTCTCAGTCTAAGGTCTGGCCCAGCGGGACGACCTATGTAGAGTTCGACCAGGCACAGTAGAGATGAGCGGAGAGGAGAGAGTTTTGTTTCGAGCTCGAAGCAGCTCGAAGCGGGTAAGGTCAAAGTCCCCGTGGCCAATTTGATCGGCAAGGATTTTCGGAACGCGCATTGGTCGGAGTTGATGAACACTTTAATCTTTGCTGCAGGAGAACGAGGGCTTCGGTGTCATCATGAAGAACTTCAACCATGAGCGCTGGGGCTTCGTGGTTCAGGAGCAGAGGGGAGAGCAGCGAAGCGGCCAGCTGCGCACGGATGTGTTTTGTGCGCAGAGGCGACTCGCTTTAGTCGCGTGCTCCTGGAAGAGCCCGGGGCCCAAAGCGGTGCAGAAGCCGGGAGCGACAGCTCCTTCATTTCCTTCAGCTCCTTCAGCTTCTGCTGTGCTCTGCTCAGCTCCTGGAGCTTTGCAAACAAGCGAAGCACTTTTGGGCTCGGGGCCTCAAGCATGGCGGGCCTGCGCGGGACCGGAAGCGTCGGAGGGCCTTATCGCTGACAGGAAGAAGCTCGTGGAGCACCCGGTGATACGCTGGAAGTTGGCCGAGATGACCCGTCAGGCGGAGCCTCTGAGCAGAGGCTCACAGAGCTTTTGAAAAGGGCTGCTTTCAGGTCGAGGGCATCCACCACTGGCTGGAGAACATGACCTTCCAGCTCTGCCAGCCCGGGCACCCGGAATTCGACGCCGCGGCGCATGCGACCCAGCGCTCTAGAGCTCCGCTCTCGGCTCACCAGGATGCCCAAGGACCAGGCCATGACCACACTGGGCGGACCCATCGCGCTCATGAAGGCGTGCCGAGCGTAGTTGGGGCTTGCTGGGTCGTCGGATTTTTGAAGGGCTTGGTCTTGGTGTCTCTTCAGTGTCTCGCCGGACGCGAGGCGCACTCCTCGAAGATCTTCGAGTACTGCGCACGCGAGGCCAGGTGCCGCCGCAACCGCGACGCACCAGCGAGAGCATGCGGAAGTGGCCCCTTTTTTTCTGCCGGCACAGGCGCGGCAAATCTTCGGGGGCAATGCCTACACACGGAGCGGCCTGGGAGAAAGAGCCCGGAGCCCAGCACAGCAGCCACTGTGACTGTGTCTTGATGTGTCTTGCGTTTTTGTTCGTCTTTGCGAGGCCGAGCGGCTGTACCGTGACGTTGGCGCCTACGCCATCCCAGGCGGCAGCGAGGAGATTTTGCTGGACCTGGCCATCCGCCAGGCCCTGGCAGGGCCCCAAAAGAGGCAGAGCCGACGAGGCTCGCCGCGAGACTGTCTCGCGTCTGGCAGGGCAACAAGTCCAAGCTCTGAGAGCGTTTCTTTGGGCTACTCGTACTTGGATGGGCCGGGGGGTTGC